TTTAAATGAATATTGACCAAATATGATAGACAAGAAAAATAAAACAAGTCACACGTTAGCAGTGCGTTCATTCCCGGCAAGGTATGAATGTTCAGATGCTTAAATAGGGGGCATTTTTAGTGCTGTACTTAATAAGTATGCCAGATTGCGTTTTTCAAGGGGGGGGGGGCATATTCCTCCCTGAATACGCCAATGCCGTTGATTTGAATATAGTTGCTAACGAACATCAACAGAACTTGCCTGAAAATCGTGAAAAGAAAAGGTGAGCATGCATCGTCCAAACATAATAACATTACATATTGCAAACTGAAAAAAAGCAAGTATAATTTTAACCAAAACTATCTTCCTTTTAAAACATGATAATGATCTCCTTCATGACATTAAATACTTCAATGTTACTGTAAATGTTCGTCTCAAGTTCAATGGAGCTCATAAGTAAATAAAGCAGAAAAGAGCAATACATGTAGGGCCTATTTGAAAAAAAGATTTTTCTCCAGTACTAATGGAAGGTGAAATACTATATAATAAATTGCAATTTTGCCCTTTCCCCGAGTTTGAAAGCAATAGCAGAAGATTTATCAAACGATGTGTATAATTCTTCCTTTAACATAGGTTTGAAAAAAAAGTTCACAAGAGTTCGGATCGATAAAGTACTGTAAATACATTGGAAAAGCAAATATATAGGTGAATCGCACCTTGGCCTACAAATTTGTATCGCCGACGTCCCGACTTGAACTCGCTCGTGCAGTTCATCGCCTCCGCTGTAAATAATTTGGCATCACAATTTCATTCTTGGTGCTAATTTGTATAGCTAATGTGTTTGCGCTCTGAGGGCGTGTACGGCCAATAATGGTGTCATTGACACTTCACAGACATACCGTACTTGTCTCTATAAGTATTCAGATGGACCCCGAAACCTCCCCCCCCCCCCCATATTTGAACTTGCTCACCTAATAGATGTGCTTGGTTCAGAGGCGTAGCTACAGATGGGACGGGGGAGCGTGCCCCCCCCCCCCTAATTAAATGGCAAAAATCGCTATGTAAAAGAGGGGTAACGAAATGGACGACGATAGAAATATTTTCCACCTCCTAATTGGTGGCCTTGTTAATTTACTTTTTATTAACCCCACCCCCCCCCCCCTTCTAGTTGTTAAATTTGGTTTTACGGGGGGGGGGGGTATCGGTCATAGTTAACCCAAGTTGTGTTCGTTTTCTTTATATTCTTCTCTATGTCTCTCATTTTTTGTCACTCTTAGTATCTCTTTCTTGTACCTCTCTCCCCTTATCCGCCAGCTCCTTTTTTTGCGCCGGGGGGGGGGGGGGGGCGTTTCTCGTACAAAATTTAACGACAAAAAAGGTGATCGTTCATATACCGACATGGATTTCAGACTGGAGTTGAGAGATTAGGACTGGGGGCTGCTGTTGTGCCCGTTAATCTTAATTTATCCGTACTACTAAAACTACTTTATCTACTATTTTCCCTGATATTGTATACCTGCTGATCAATATAATTACACTGAAGTGAAAACAACATAAATCATGTTTGTACTATTTTATTGGGAAAATATTGTGGACGTTGTAGGGTAGAAAAGTTTAAAGGTAAAGGTTAAGGTAAAAAGTGGAGTTAGAGAAAGAAAAAAATCACATGTAATGACCTTATCAGAGGAAGGGAGAAACAATTGTTTTAAAGAGAGAAAAGGAGAAAGAAAGAGAAAGATATATAAAAACCGAAAAAGGAGAAAATGAGGAAGAGACACAGAGAGAGAGAGAGAGAGAGATAAAAGGATAAAGGGCAGAGAAGGAAAAGCAAACCAAAGAAATAGAGAAAGAAAAAAAGTGGAAGAGACAGAAATAAAACAAAAGAAAGGAGACAGAAAAAGGGGTTTTAAAAAAGAAAAAAAGAGAAAGAAAGTAACAGGGGAGGTGATTAAACTGTCGCAAGGGTCAATACTCCAGGAAAAGAAATGGCGGGAAAGGGGGGAGTGGACGAGTCTCATACAGATCAATTGAATAATCTTTGTGATTCCCAAATCGGTTATGACCCTGATTCGTGTTCAAGCGTATCATTCTAATGTTTACTCGTTACGAAGTGTGAAAAGTGGGTGCGTCCAGGGGTGCGTGCAGCACACGAGTTCATTATCCGAGTACGGGTCATTGCAATGATATCAGGAAAGGTAACAAATTCATGAACAACTGTTTCTATATTTGCATAGATATAAATATAGTTCATCATACTGGAGGCCGTTAGTAGAGAGATATGGCTTGGTATCCATACATACATCATTTTGCTTTTAAAATTATGTTACGGGACAGTTTATATATTGATTATCATTATGATACGAAGCTGTGCAATTGCATTTTTTCGCAAGATGATAACACAAAATGATATCACAAAATGTTTTCATTTCAAAGCATATGATATGTTAACATGATATTTAAAGTGCAAACTTTACGGGAGAAAAACTGATCTAATATTTTAGGTATTACTGCGCCAGGGTAGACGAAAATCTTTCATGTTAGCAACATTTGCACTGTAGACTCGAGACATATTTTGTCAAATTATCATCAACATTATATTTTTCTCAGAGTTCATTTCAAATTGATTATTTCAAAAATCGACTTGCAACTAAGTTCAATTTACTTCCTTTATGACACACATGACATGTGTTTTTATTTAATGTACATGTAATGTTTTAATATGTGATTTGTTTTCTATGCAATGGAGCTGAATGCCCGAGGGAAGTAGTAATTTGATTCGTCTTTTCAACTCCTGTTATGCTGACTTGAGGAAGAATTTAGATGAACAAGAATTATTCTTGTTTAAGAAAACTACAAAACAATTTTGGTCAAACACATCTGTTACAAGAAATGCAATCAACTCTTGCCTAGCTTTGGTCGACTGATGGAACGAATACTGGGACCCGTTTCACAAAACCTTTTTCAATGACAAGTGACAAATTCAGTGACAAACCTGCTGATAACCAATCAGAAGCAAGGATTTCACTAGCTTATAACTAAAACTGTCATTTGTCACTGATGACAAGTTTTGTGAAATGGGGCCCTGGACTAGGACATGCAGTGGACTTTTGTCATAACATAACAGTGTACATGTACATCTATCATATTATAAATGATAACAATCAAGCGGTGTGCATTTGTGTTTGATCATTACAAAAACCAATTTTATTTTCTTCTTCATATCAATTATCATGTAATATGTGAATAAACTGTACAATACTCTGCATGATCTTTACATATAGACCACGATTAGCAAACCTATCATCAAATAATACAAAACAAAAGTAATGAGAAAGAGAAAATAAACTTAGATGAAAAGAAAAGAGCAAAAGTTGTCATGCCGTCCCATAACCTTATATTATCCATCTAAATTTAACCCCGAATCGTGTCAATCAATTAAACACATACATAGCATTGGACGGTTACAAGTATATTTGTTTCAATGAACTAGTTAACGAAATATCTTCAGAGTTGTGAGCAAAGTCTGAAGACCCCCATCAGGCAACTCAATAAACCAGTCTGTAGTTAGCACAAGGTTCAAATAACCCAAATTGTTCACAGATCTGTTACATATTGAGAACTCTAAACTTTGTGCATTTTAGAATAATTACTGCCCAAGTCATGGATGTGCTTCGTCATGAGGAACCTTTATTTGACCCCTTGTTTACCCCCTTGTGAAGAATACTATTCTACCTGTGCATCATTGAATGTCCAGTCAGTGCATGAATGAATTAATTACACAACTTTGATGAGCATGTGTCCAGCCTACGCATGCGCGCAGATTGTATCTACGAACTGTGTATCTAATGCAAACTACTTTGATTTAAACATCGCCAAACCGGCTCTACACCGACCCCAAACCGACCAATACTTGGGCATTCAGGGTAATATTCCCTTTATCGGTCTGAGGTCGGTCAGCTGTCGGTCTCGTCGGCATGATTTGGGTATTGATACCAACCACTTTTGTATCTATAGAGAATAGATATGCAAGATGTTACACACTTGAAGAAAAAAAATCTCTCAAAAGCTTGCATGATCTATAACTATCCATAAATTCATCATGAATGAAAATTTGGTGGGTCTCCAGGCATATTATATCAACATACCGGTACTTACTTTTTAAGTATTCTAATATACCTTAAGTATTACATGTTCACACATTACAGTCATGTTACGCTCATTTATAACCATGAATACATTTGTGAAACACAATATACTGTATTAAACTGATATCAGCTAACTTTAGTAATACTTATACAGTAGGCTTACGGGTGCACCATGTGAGAGAGAGAGGATTGAGGAGTCCTGAAAAGGACTCTCGGTAATCTTTCTTGGGGGTGTGTAGTCCTGAAAAGGACTGTTTGTGTAGTCTTGAAAAAGACTGTTGGTTATCTTTCTTAGCTTATAGTTCTAAGGAGAACTATAGCGCTTGGAGAGGATGAGTGGCGGGAGTGGCTCGACGTTTCGAACAAGTTGACTATCCGTCGTCAGGAGTAATACCGTTACCAACTAAATTATTCATATTCCTAGTAAATTTGATGCTTTTTGTTTTTTTCATAACTCAAGAATAAAAGATGGACTGGTTGAATCAGGGCCTTTCTTCAATAGTCAATACTTTTAGATGTAAGCTTTTATAACTCACATTCAAAAGAAATATATATCGGGACGAATCAATTTTACACTAACTTAAAAGTTACAAAACTTTGTAACTTTTATGAATAATTTAGTTGTTTACAGTAGATTCTCCCTGATTCATGTAAGTACCTCAAGAGTAATTATCAACCATATCCTCATGACTAATTGTTAGCAACCATACACTTGGCATTTTCATTGTCTCACCAACTGTCAGAACACACTTGGTGTTAGTACGTGTAGGTGTAGTAGGTTTATGGGGAACTTTATTTATGTTGCGCTGTTGTCATGGTGAGGGGGTGGGGGTGATGTTTGCAACCCTGATTTACACATTCAATGAAATGTGAAAGAAAGTAGGTTAGATTTAAAGGAGCCTTTTAGGAAACCTTCACCTCTAATGTCCTCTATCAATTTGAAACACAAAGTTAGTGTCCTTTTACTGTTTAAAAAAAGAAGTTTCAGAGAGTTTGTTTATGGTCGCAAAAGAAGTGGTGTGCACCAAGAGAATAAAGTGATGTTGGAAAGATAGCTCTAACTTCCATTTGATACCAGTATATTAAGCATCAGAAAGGTATGTCACCCATCTTGACAGCATAAATACTGAGTTATGAGCATTATAGGCATTGGGTAGCAGGCTTAAGTTGAATACATGCTACATGTGTAAAATGTATATGCTTACATCAGGAAACATAATGTGAAAATTCAACTCACAGAACAGATTATGCCTTTTTCATTTATCAAGTCTGAAGAAAAACATATTCTAAGCTGACAGACATTCATAAATTTTCCTCATGATTGCTTGAAAAAGAAAGTAGGCCAAGAAAGCATAATATGATATGACACAATTGTATATCGATATAATATATAAACCTTTTTTATATACAAGTGTCTTGCATATCTATATGAAAATATGCATGTACCAAACATAACGATTCATGAGTAGCCCTATGCATCATTTTCTATTTTTGGAAAACATGTTTCGAACTATTTGACACAGTTGGTACGGTAATTGTACAGTAAGCAAGTACATCATGATCACCCTTTGAAATTTACATAATGTACTTTACAAATGCCCTCAAACATGATCCGATGACAACATATTTTTGTTTTAAATAAGAATAATAATAACAGTCACATTTATTTGTATAGCACTTAATACAACATTTCTAAGTGCTTTACATTGTAGTTATTATCACCTCGGTCAATGGATTCAATTGGTTATCCACACGTGATAGTGTCAACGCTCACTCCCTGGGGAGTATTAAATGACTGCAACTAAATTTTGGAGACACAAAGAAGGATTGTAGAAAGAAAAGGAAAACACAAAAAGAGGTAACTCGACATGAATGTACCTCTGACAAAATGTGTGTGTGTTTGTGAGTGAGGGGGAAGGGTAGGGAGGGGCGTCATGAATTGTGTTCTTTGCATTGAGAGGACCACTTTCATCACAATGATGCCTATAGGGGTGAATTTCTATTTATTGTACAACTTGTCCATTTTAAAACCTTCATGATCTGTTTCAATGTTATCACAGTGAGTGTTGAAAGTGCTAATAGAATTTGATTCAACACTTTGAAAGATGCAAAATTGATACTACCTGTATTTTCTGTTTCATTGGGGATAGATAACAAAAAACCTTCATGATCAAAATGATCAAAACCAACATTATCAAAGTGAGTGTTGAAAGTGGTAATAAAATATTGATTCAACACTTCTAAAGATGGAAATGATACTATTCTTTTTTATTGGAGATACAGAAAAAAATATGTCTGTTTGGAGCCAGAAAGGCCTTTATACCAACACTTTAAAACAGAGTTAGTGCCCTTCTGGCTCTCAATAGACGAAATACATTTCAAAAGCCTAAAATATCAGGAGCAGACAAACAGACATTTTGGTTGCAAAACATGACTAGGTTTGTTCAAAAAAGAGAAATAGTAATGCATATTGCACAGATAAGTTCCCCTAAAGCACAGAAGCTCTACTGATATATAACCATAACAAATCATAGCTAAATAAAGTCATACAGATGAGATAACTGATACACGATTTGTGTGGAAATCTACGATTATATCTTCTGATGAAAGTTCTAGCAAGGCTACTTGACGATCAGATGTGGTATGCAATGTATGGGACAAAAAAGCATAGGCATGCCTTTTCATACAATTGAGTTGTGGTCATTGGAGGAAATACAGTGTACTAGACTCTAACATACATTATAGATTTTGAAGCTCTAATTCAATTACTATTACCGTTATATGTCACTTGGTTCATACAATCGAAAGGACCAGCAGTATGGATACAATATCAAATCTTTGGATAACTGCGATATATTCCACAGATCATATTTAACCACATTACATTGCATCTTGATTTAATCAGAATGCAATATCAGAACCGTTTCTCAGATCCACTACAGATGATGATGATAGGAGGGTTGTTACTGTTCTATGAATCATATACAGTTGAGGACATTGAAACAAGTTCTGCATCACATCTCAATATGAGCAGAGAAGATGTTTTGAGGCTTGCTTTCTGTTGTAATAGAGCTTTTACAGATATGTATCAATCAGGTATGATTATTTACGTCCTGGGACCAACCTTTCATGCCACCATCCAAAAGACAAAAATCAGTTTTGAAACGAGCTCCGTCAGAGGAAGGCAATAACAGAGAGCTGACCTTACCACTAGACCATGTTACATCTCTTCTCTCCATTTGCAGGCATCCATATTCAATAACGATCTTCCATCAAGTATGCTGCAACATCAGGGGGGCATTTCACAAAACTTGTCATCAGTGACAAATGACAGTTTGTGTTAAAAGCTACTAAAATCCTTGCTTCTGATTGGTTATCAGCAGATTTGTCACCTAATTTCTCTACTTTGTCATTGAAAAAAAGAATTTGTGAAATGGGCCCCAGATCATGATTTGCATTAAATAGTACAATGTGCAGAGTAATACTGCTCTACCTATCCATACTCGTCTCTTTTCTTACTTTTCTTTCAGGAATGTCCACAACATGTAGCAAATACCAAATGAATGATTGCTTCCAACTTTATACAGATAAATATATTTTTCTCTGTTCAGTATATTCACAAAAGTCAGTCTATTGATTAGGCTAGATATATGATGAGTTTGCAGTTACATTTACCACTTTCTTGTGGATTGTTTTTAGAATGAGCCCAACATGACAGTTAAAATCGGTCATTGATTCTACCTTCTGCACATCTCGCTATACCTTTCTCTTATCAATTTACTTTTGTAGCAAACCTGAAATGAATGGCCACTTCCAACTCAATGAGATAAATATATGACTCTCTTACCAGTATATTCACATCAATACATCAGGGCCCTGTTTCACAAAACTCATCAGTGACAAATTACAGTTTTTGTTATAAGCTACTGAAATTCTTGCTTCTGATTGGGTATCAGCAAATTTGTCACTGATTTTTGTAATTTGTCTTTGAAAATAGGCCCTGTGAAATGGGTCCCTGGTAAGGTTGTTGACACTGCCCTACATGTAGATAGATGATGTTGTGGATGTCACTATCTTCTTCATCATGTTCTTTAGTACCAGATGACAAAAGACGGTTTGAGGGCAGACATTCATTGTATCCATCTTCACACCTCATCGATACTTCTCTTTATGATTCGCTTAATGAATGGCCACTTCCAAATTCATGGAATATCTCTATCCAGGATATTCAAAAAAATTGATTAATGCACATCAATTAATTAATTGTCCTAGTTAGGATAGATAGATGATGGTGATGATGTTCCGCATCAGCATTCTTCATAAGGTTCAGCAGAGACAAGGTTGGAGGGTGCATGCCGATTCCATTCATCTGCACATCTTGTCACAACTTTCTCTTCTCAATTTCCCTGATGATAAATATTTCTTGTTTCCTTATCTCCCTCAGATCTCTTGTAACTCTTTTCAGTATATTCACACCAATCCGCTAATCCAGTCCATTCACACTGGCGTGATAAAGCTAGATATATGAAGGTATTTTCAGTATATTCACACCAATCCGCTAATCCAGTCCATTCACACCGGCGTGATTAAGCTAGATAGATGAAGGTATTTCCAGTATATTCACACCAATCCACTAATCCAGTCCATTCACACTGGTGTGATTAAGCTAGATAGATGAAGGTATTTCCAGTATATTCACACCAATCCACTAATCCAGTCCATTCACACTGGTGTGATTAAGCTAGATAGATGAAGGTATTTTCAGTATATTCACACCAATCCGCTAATCCATTCCATTCACACTGGTGTGATTAAGCTAGATAGATGAAGGTATTTTCAGTATATTCACACCAATCCGCTAATCCATTCCATTCGCACTGGTGTGATTAAGCTAGATAGATGAAGGTATTTCCAGTATATTCACACCAATCCACTAATCCAGTCCATTCACACTGGTGTGATTAAGCTAGATAGATGAAGGTATTTTCAGTATATTCACACCAATCCGCTAATCCATTCCATTCACACTGGTGTGATTAAGCTAGCTAGATGAAGGTATTTCCAGTATATTCACACCAATCCGCTAATTCAGTCCATTCGCACCGGCGTGATTAAGCTAGGTATATGAAGGTATTGATGTCACCTTCGTCTCTCTTCATGTACTTGTGTTCTATGAGCCACTCTATCTGTTCTTTGATCATCTTCTTCTGCGGAAGGAACATGTTCTTGAGGATCTCTACCAGTTCCGTCTGGAGCTGGGCATTGTTTAGTTTCTTCCTCATCTTCATGATCTTCACTATTGCCTCCTGTAAGCATAAACAGACAAAGAAGGGATAGTGGGGATGAGTATTCCAGATGTACATATCCTAGATGTTGATGTTTTTCACTGAAAACTAGTAGATATGTTCAGAAAGCTTTCTTTATAATGACTGAAGAGACATATCGATACACTTCAAATGCAGTGTGTACTGCTTGTTAACAAAAAGAACTTGGGGTCTCTTCGTTTTCTTTCCTTTTTTTATGTTTTCACTGATATCTACGATAGAGGAACCTGTGCAGTAAGTTAATTAACATGTAAATATGAATCACATACAGAATTTAATAAGGAAAGTTCTCAATCACGATGCCTTTCTAATTATTTTTATTCATACAAATACTATCCTAACTCACAAATTATGAAAATATTTTAATCATTTAATAAAGAATGACAACTTTTTTGTACAATGTCAATAAAAATTATTTTGTAATACCAATGGGCAGTGTAAGTGTTCTCAAAGGTTGGACGGTGCACACCGATTATATTCATCGCACATCTTGCCACACTTTCTCTTCTCAATTTCCCTATAGAAGAAAATCCAAAATGAATGCCCACGTGGGCAGTGAAAGCACCGACAGAGTTACATTTCCTTGTGACTGACTGACCTGAGTTCTAAGAATCCTGAGTTGCACAATTCCTTCCTTATCCTCTTCAGTACTCCTCTCCGTAGATAGCTGAAGTCTTCCGATCAGGTTGATCTTACCTCGCTTCTGTGGCTTCCCATTCTTACTGAAATACAAATCATCAAAGACCAGTCAAATCATTTCAAATCAAATTATGCTGATATCTTTGTAAATTTGTATATACAGAGGCCGTATCAAATCATCCAAGACCAGTCAACAAGCCAGTTCACGGTTGCAGTATGAACATGGGCAGATAAAGGTCATTGCAGAACAAATTGTGAAATACACGGAGATGAAATACTGGATACGTGCTCATGAAAGTTATGTAATCATTATTCATTAATGCACAAGCAGTGTACTCCATGATATACAGGTGGAAGTATTCTTTGAAAAGGGGAAACAAAGGCTATTTATGTAGCACTTCCATCGCTGTAGGAATGATTATTTCAATTTGTACAAAGTGGAGCCTCTTCATGTTTTGAAGATCTGTGGATATTTGGGGTCATTGCAGCCATGTGCTAACCATGAACTGGTCTATTCATTTCAAATCCATTCACGCCGTTATCTTTGTTAATTCATAAATACAGAGGTCCTTTCAAATCATCAAGACCAGCCAAATCATTTCAAATCCAATCACGCCGATATCTTTGTGAATTTGTGTATACAGAGGCCCTATTAAATCATACATGATGAGTTTGATCGAAGGGATAAACATTTAAATGTGGTCAATGGTTAATACTAGAACACAGTGAAGGATTGTTGTGTTTTTCTATTTTCTTCTCTGAAAATGTTTTGTGGGCACCGGTGTGCAGTGCTGTTGTACTTATTGGAGGGGGGCATCAAGGCCAAACATTAACAGTAAATAGTAACTATAATACAAAATGAAAGTAAATACAAATGTTACTACTGGACCTATAACTGTTAAACAAATACATATGGGAAAACATACATATTGTAAGTATCTAGAACAGTATCAAAAACTCACATGACAGCAAAATCTTGGTTGACCCAGAACACTGTTCCATCTACAAATTCCTTGGGTGACTTAGCCTCTGGTTGCATTAGAACCATTTGTCTCTTTAACTTGGCAAAGGCTACCAACGACTGCAAGAGAAATAAAATAAATTGTGATTGAGGCTACTCTTCATACTCATTTCAAACCACTGAGTAATCACTCTCTATCATTCCCTCATATTCAATAAATTATACATGGTAAGGCATTAATCATCTTTACAAAAGCCCTCACTCCCCTGTTTGCTTACTTACAAGCATATACATGCTTTCTTAGCAGTCAGTTTAAAAAATATTAAAAAATGGAGATTTTATATGCAAGTCATGTCTCAAGGACTAATTATCCATAACATTAAACCAATGAAGCAAACTTCTAGCAAGCCCAAGGAAGCAAAAATATGACAGTCTATGACACTGCATAAGGATTTAATACAGGTTTTGCTTCCGAAAACCAGAAATGTCTCCTTCAAAATAATTATTACAACTCTCAATGAAGAACTAAATGACAACATATGGCCACAGCTTTCATATGTCAAGCTAGACATATTTAAGAAGCACTTGTAGACTTATGTATTTAGCTGATTTTTCCACCTTCATACCATGTGACAGTGCTATATAAATCACCATATAATAATCATTAAGCTGCTCATCTTACAAAGGAAGAAGACTGGAGATCGGATAAGACATGACAAGGCTCTGTCAAGTCAACAAAAAATATACTTTCTTGTATAGTGCATAAATACCGTCCCTATGCACTACCAAAGAGCTTTGGAAATTATTACCCTAGCTTTTGCTCCAGCAGCCATTATCAGCACACAGTGCATTTCAAGGAATAATCCTACAAGGTACCCATTTACTCCACCTGGGTGGAGTGTGGCAAAAGTAGATTAACATCTTGCTAAAGGACATTGGTGTTGTGGCAGGGATTCAACCCCTGTTTCTTCATTGACCCAAGTGTGCCTCATCGATTCAGTTTAGACTTACCCAAAGCGTTCTCCTGAGTTCATGATCTGGTAATTCTGTTGCAAGCCTCAGGTTTTCCAGTGAGATCTTGTCTAGGGGTCTTTGGTTCCATGCGTATAGTACTGCCATTTGAAATGTGGTGACTTCAAGATCGAACATACCGACTTCATTCTTCATCGTGATCTAAATTGATTAGATAAAAAGGAGGAAGGACAATTAGAAGGTGATGATATAGAGTGAACCTGTCTATAAAGGCCACCAAAGGGAGACAAGAAAAGTGGTCTCTAGAGGCAGGTTGTCTTAGGGGAGGGGGCCCAACTTTTTTTTTTTTTGCTCCCGAAAATTTGAAAATCGCTCCGGCCGAAAATTCGCTCAGTGGGGGGGGGGGGGGGGGGGGGGGGGGGGGGGGGGGGGGTGGGGGGGGGGGGTAGTGAGCACATTTTTTTTTTTTTGATCCTCAAAAAAATTTCAATTTGCACCCCCCCCCCCCCCCCTTGAGCGCCAGGGGGGGGGCCCAACCCCCCAAAAAGGTAAAAATCACGTGATTTTACATGATTTTTTTCTCAAGGGGGGGGGGGCCCGGGCCCCCCGGGCCCCCCCCCCCCCCTGGATCCGCCACTGGCCTACAGTACATGTTTCAATGAGAAACCATTTTCAAGGGAAACACAAAATGTGGTCTTTGTAGACAGGTGGTCACTAAAGCAGGTTTGACTGTATTAGCAAGCCCAGTATCAATGCATGTATCCTAATACCATCTCCATATAAAGAACACATTAGTTCAAGTTGAACATAATGTTCAAGTTCTGCAGAGAGATGTGAAATTGGGATCTTGTCTAAGGGTCTATGGTTCCATTTGTATAGTACTGCCATTTGAAAAGTGGTGACCTACAGGTCAAACATACATACTTCATTCTTTATGGTGATCTAAGTTGCATTACGTAAGATATATGAGGGATGGTTATGGATTTGACTTTGATGTCTTGAAGTCTTGGTATAAGATCAGTACCAATGCATGAAATATATGACTTTCTTTCATCACCCAAGGTTTTGCATTGTGATATTAAACATATTAGGATAGTATTTGTGGTCTGAGTAGTTACCTTGATAATATTATTTTGGTTGTTCAACTGGTTTCACACTGATGTTTCTCAAAATAAAAATTTAACACTGACAAATAATACAACTTTTTTTCTGACAATGCTAAAATGAGCAAATCTAACCTGCTCTATAGTCTTCATATAACCAGCATGTACGATAAACAAAAGATAAATACCAGAAAGGGGGAAGTAAATATGTTAAACGAGTATAGAGCAGCTTTGAAAACCTGTAAGAGAATGCATGAGAAAGAGAGAGAAAGAGAAAGAGAAAGGGGGAGGAAGGGGTGAGAGTGAGAGAGAGAGACACAGAGAGAGAAAGGGGGAGGAAGGGGGTGAGAGTGAGAGAGACACAGAGAGAGAAAGGGGCAGGAAGGGAGGGAGAGTGAGAGAGAGAGACACAGAGAGAGAAAGGGGGAGGAAGGGGGTGAGAGTGAGAGAGACACAGAGAGAGAAAGGGGGAGGAAGGGGGTGAGAGTGAAAGAGAGACACAGAGAGAGAAAGGGGGAGGAAGGGGGTGAGAGTGAGAGAGACACAGAGAGAGAAAGGGGGAGGAAGGGGGTGAGAGTGAAAGAGAGACACAGAGAGAGAAAGGGGGAGAAAGGGAGGGAGAGTGAGAGAGAGAGACACAGAGAGAGAAAGGGGAGGGAGGAAAAGAGAGAGAGACAGAGAGAGAGAGACAGAGAGAGAGAGACTGATAGGAAGATGAGATAGAGGGGTGAGAAGAGAAAGAAAGATACAATGTAGACAGAGAGAGAAAGATGGGAGAAAGGAAAGAGATAGAGAATAAGTGAGAATGAGAAGAAATGAGGACACAGGAGGGGGACAAAACATGGAGACGTAGGGAAAGAGGGAGGTGGAAGTAGAGAAGGAGACAATCAAACTTACTATTCCATTGGACATGAGATGATGCCACTGTAGTTTCCTGCCGTTGTGCTTGTTGCGATAGAATTCTTCTACTTCAGGGATGAAATCTTCTAGCTCGACTGGTAACGAGCACGGCACCCTCTCACTACTCCTAGACCATGCACCAGCATTGAGGATTTTTATATTCATGTTATCTGTTTGAAAGATTACAGGCAGAAAAGTTAATAATCTTATAAAGCTGATGATATAACCATAAGAAGAATGACAAATACATAATAAACACTGAACCCTCTCACTACTTTTAGACCATGCACCAGCGTTGAAGATCTTACTATTCATGTTGTCTGTTGGGAAAGTTCTTTTTTTTTAAATGTTGTCTTGTATAACATATTACAAAATCAAATTTCTTGAATGAATGATAATAAACTTGTCTGGGTTTCACTACTTCTAGAATAAGCACTGGCATTGAGGATCTTGATACCGATGTTATTGTTGGGAAAGTACAAAGGTAAATATCACAACAACATACAAGTCTCATTCAAAATTGCAACATAATGACAGATTACTAAGAACAGAAGATACAGCATCTCACTACTTCTCTACTAAGCACTAGCTCTATTATCTATTTAGAAAAGAGGTAAATCTGATAAGGTGAATAGTTGTTCTGCATGTTCCTGATAGAACCCAGCCATATCACAATGACAATCGACAATAAGGTAAAGATTTTTTTTTACTGGAATTATTATTAAGTCTGGGGCGTCATTCTAAACTTAAGAGGATCGTTTGACCTTGAACTTTGCATAGAGCCCTGATCTAAGAGACTAGAAACTTAATAGGTAACTGACCTGCTACATTGCCATAATTGTTTCTGTGAAGTTCCTTGAAGGATTGGTTCAGGTCTTCTGAGACTTTGATGTCTTGGAACATCCTGGCAAGTTTATTGACATAGTCTGCTGGCATCCCCACCTCCTACAATTAGTAAAAAAAAAATCATTGTATCTTGGTACTTTGAGTTCAATCTTTGAACTGATAATACTACAAATCTCACTTTATCATCGTTCACCACAACAATAACAACAACAATGGATTGATGTTAACGGCTACATTTTTACTGTGCACAATATCCATCCAAAATGGGATGTCCAGTTACAGTAAAAGCACACACAGAACTTGAATTCATTATTTTATGGTACATTATGTAGTATATGCTACATGAATATATGCTAAACTCGCAACTCACAGCACAATCAAATCTGCATTCAATATTTCAGAAATACAGTTTCCTTTTAAAGTGCATCATATTCTTTCAGTAAGAATGTACAGTACTGACAAAAGAAAACTACCGACAAAAACAACATAAAGAGGAAAAGTAATCATTGTAAGTCATTTAAAATTATTTCTTCAACTAAAACTTAAAGTTTATGAGGGAAGTCATTCCCAAAGGATGTGTTACACTTGACCTAGACACAATTCTTTCATATCTGAAGAGTGAGAAGGGAAAAGAGAAAGTGACATAGAGAGAGAGAGACAGAGAGACAGACAGACAGACATACAGATTGACAGCGAAAGAGGCAGAGAGAGAGAGAGAGAGAGAGATGGAGATAGATAGAGAGAGGGGGAGAGAGACAGAAAGATGGGAGAGAGACAGAGAGAGGGAAAGACAGAGAAGATGAAGAAGAAAAAGAAGAGAGAAAGTGATAATCATACCCTGAGCCATTCCACCATGTTTTCTTCTTTCTCACTGTCAGCTGATGTGTCCAGTATTAATCGTCTTGTTAGATGAGCTTTATGGTACCTCATGAACACATCTTTGTTCTGCACATACTTCAGTACTAGAAGCTAAAATGAGAAGAAATACAAGAAACAAATTACAATCAAGTTAAAATAATACACTTGTTATAGTCAACTAAAATCACTTTTAATTCAATTCAAAATACAATTTTAAAAGGGTTTACTAGACACATTTTACAGCAGTAAAGTACGAAAGTAGATCTGACCTCTCATTTCCCCTTCCGTTTCATGAACGCGGCGCGGCGCAGCAACAAACTGCGCACCTATACAACGTTTCGCTGTAGAGTTTCTTTGTTTCGGGATGACTTGTTCTTGTGTGTGTGTGCTCCCTATAAGATGATTCTTTATACAACGTTTCTTGTGTGTGGATGCCCGGTTCACTATACGCTGATTCTTTATACAACGATTCTTAAGAGTTTCAAGATAATTTTTTTTGTGTGTGTTGACACGCTGAGAGAGCTGCAGCAAGAGGGGTTGAAAGATAATGAGAGAGTACTTACGACATTCCTAAGTTTGCTTTCTATCTCTTCCGATGTGAGTCTCTTGCTGAGGGGTGTTTTTCTCAGAAGCATGTCACAGTAGTTTGCTAGTAGCTCTGGACATCTCGACTCGGGTTGCCCTTTACTAACAGCACTGAAGGGAGATGGAGGGAGAGAAATAGAGGGACAGAGAGAGAGAGGGGCGGAGAGAGAGGGGCGGAGAGAGAATGAGGGGGAGAGAGAGAGAGAGGGGGGGGGGAGAGGCAAAGAAATAAGTAGGAGAGAGGGGGAGAGAGAAAATACAGAAAGAGAAAGAATGAATGGGGAGAAAGGGGGAAAGGAATAAGTGGGAAGGTAAAGAGATAGAGAGAAACAAAAAAAAAGAGGGCAAGAAAGAGAGAGGCAAGAAAGAGACAGACAGAGAGAGAGAGAGTTTGTGAGGGGTGGGTAAAAAAGGAGAAAGACAAGGAGAAAACATGGCAGACATGGATGGACAGACAGACACATAAAAGACAAAGACACAGAGGGATATTTAAGAGTTGGATAGAGATACAGTGGAAAGGTTAAAGAAAGTGGTGCAGGAGCGAAGAAGAAGTGAAAATGACAAGATAATATATGTGAAAAACAGACAGACAGACAGACATAGACAGAGAGAGAGAGAGAGAGAGAGAGAAAGAGACCCAAATAGTATGATTAAGATTAAATATGAAGGATATATTCAGAGAGGAAGATACAATACGTGAGGGTAGGGTGTTGTCGAAATTGAAAAAGAGTGATTTGATTATTTATATGACAGATAAAGAGGAAAGAAGAAATATAAGATATGCATAAAGAAAAAATAATGTACCACATTAGCATGCCATGCAGAATATTTAAAATTCTTTAATTCAGAATTGTTTTAATGAAGATTTTTTTATTCTTTCAACTGAAATTTAAATTATTATATTCTAGTAGAGGTGAATTTCTATCTAACAACTCTATAACATATTCAAACCACTCAATTGCACCTGCGATAAAATTCTCACCGAGACATCTGACAATCAAGATCATAAAGTTACAAAAGAAAGAAAATATTACATTTGTGATCAACTTTAAGTACATTACTTATCCAACTGTATTTAAAGAGCACTATACAACTTATAAAGGGGATATAAACAATGAATTACGCTGCTGGATTTGATCTACAAAAAGCTGCACAGTAAAATTTGTTATTTAAATCTTTTGTATTATTGCTGAACTGGGCATCAAATTTCCTCAATGGAAACTAACTCCACAATGCTTGTAATAGTTCAGAAACCAGACGAGGAATAAGAAAGTAAAAATTGTTTGTCTGGACCAATGTTTTGTCAACATAACATGGTTATAGCCTCACCTCTTGTTTTTTGTTGGTAGCTCCAACCGGAAGACTTTGGTATCATTGACTACATGCCTGTAAGCCTGCAATAAAAAATCATGTCACATTAATTATATTGGACAAACGCAAGTTTCTATCAGCATTTCCTCTGCTGTGACTATGATAATACATTATGAACAATATCAAAAGCCAGAGAATTCATAAAATTAATTATTAATATCAACAATTTAGGTCAGAAAAAAGACTATGGCATTTGAGAAGCTGACTATACTCGTTGAGATCTTGTGTTAACACACAAACAAAACATTTACAAATGAAAACACAAATATTGTGATCAAACAGATAACCTTGATGAACTAAACAAGGAAGTTAGAGCAAAATATCTCTGTGTTATTACGTGGAGTTCTTTTCATTTGATTCAATTGTATAAGAAACTGTCTGGAATTCATTTGGAAAGCCTCAGAATAAAATTTAGTACCGGGTACACATGAATCAGTAAATAATGTGAGGTATTGGAATAATCAAAATGACAAATGCCTCAATCCTGCTGAGAGTCACATGCACTGTACTAAGAAATTATTATATGGGACTACACAAACATGAGGCATACAGGTTTTGTCTAATCAATTCAGCTATTTCTTGTCAAATTTCGAATATGTGAGCATTTCAAGAGCCAACCTTTTCAGGAGACATATCTCCTACGACATATTCTTCCACACCGACATCAGACATTCAAAGAAAGAAAAATCTGACAAACTAGTTGTCACCTTTTACAGAACTTGAATGAAGGCACAGAGTAGTGGTCTCTCATGGGGAATGATGAAATGAGGAAATTCTGATGTTTACCCAATAGCAGGTGTTGTCAATTACCAGGATTAGCCTTCAGTTTTATGACCAACAGGCTTTATGTAATGCACTGCCTTATACACCCATTCAATTCGGTAAAGTCAGTATTTTACATTTCTATCACCCGAAGGCTCTCTGAGAGACTAAAGGATATTTTTTAATTGATACACTGGTTTGATGTGTGCAGACTTGGACACCCATTAATGGAATTTCTACCAAGTCTGGTGTCGGTGAATTATGACCTTCTGCACATGGAACATTTTCTTTCAGGTTTGAGACTCACCTTATCTCTTGATGTCAAGAATCTTGGGTCATCGTTGAAGGCCTCTTTGACGAGATTGCTGAACCTATGGAATAACTCTAACAACCTCTCTACATACTTCTCTGAATCCTGTAAAAGAAATGCAAAGCAGATGCAATGTAGTTTAAATATGTAGTCAAGTCCTTGTCATTTCTAATGTCATATTCTTCTACATGAGCATGGAAATAACAAGAAATTTAATTTCACTTTAACCAGAATTTAACTCATGGACTGGGGGCAGAATCCCCCCTCACCGTGTATGTGTTAGGATATTTTTTCCACTGCAAGCTTTCATGCCTAGAGTCATCTTTTGATACCAAATTTATAAAATTCCAACCAGTGTGGAGGAATCCCCCCCCCCCCCCCCCCCCCTTTGGCTGAGGGAGCACAAAAAAGACCTGACCTTTTTAGGGTTAAACATAGATTTCAAATGGACTGTGAAGAATTCAAATGATATTGCAAAATATTAGTTTAAAACAATATAGCCACAAGAGCAAATACTTTCTTATTTACATGTAGTAAGATTACCATATGATTAAATACAACAGTTCATGCTTCATAACAAAGATATCTGTATCAACTTACTGTGGTGATGATCTCAGCCGCTGCAACCATGTCAGCAAGACCTGCTTCAATGATGTGCTGCTCAAGATCTCTTAGCATAGGATTAATGCCTTCTGGAACTCTGTCCATCAGCTTTAGCATCAGGTTCAGTTCTACAACACACAAGAATAGATATTAAAACCGTTAAAAACTTTATAGAAAGGAATTTTGACCAAGACAGAAGAAGTGACTTTATAGTGCACATGTCAACAAGACAGTGATGTGCTGTTAAAGATATCTTAAGTCTTGGATTTATGCCTTTGGGAGCTCTGTCAATAAGCTTAAAGCCCCAGTCCCATATAAAGCCGGACCAGCACGGACGAGCACGGACCACTCCGGACCATCCCGGACCATGGTCTGGGGTGATCCGGGATGGTCCGGGATGTTTTGTTCAAAAAAGTGTGATGCTTTTAAGCTACAGTCCCATATACGTCCCGGACCGTCCCGGACCATCCCGGACCCCATCCGGGGTGATCCGGGATTCGGTCCGTGTTGACACCGTGTTGGCACCGGGGTGGTCCTGGATGGTCCTGGGTGGTCCTGGATGGTCCTGGATGGTCCTGGGCGGTCAATAACTCACTCCCGGACTGCCACGGATCAACACGGACCGCCCCGGCGCCACTACGGATGACCCCGGACCCAGCACGGTGGCTACACGGATCACCCCGGATCAAACTATTGTCCCGGACCGTCCCGGACCACCCCGGCAGTTTTTGACCGTCAAAAACATCCGGGGTCGACTCCCGGACCGCCCAGGACCATCCAGGACCATCCAGGACCATCCAGGACCATCCAGGACCATCCAGGACCACCCCGGTGCCAACACGGTGTCAACACGGACCGAATCCCGGATCACCCCGGATGAGGTCCGGGATGGTCCGGGACGGTCCGGGACGTATATGGGACTGTAGCTTTAGCATCAGGTTCAGTTCTACAACACACAAGAATTTGAATAATAATAATAATAATAATAGTTCGTTCTTTTATAGCGCATTAATAAAGTCAAACTCCTACATGAAGAATTAACAAATGAAATTTAAAAAAGCTTCACCCTCAGCTCTACAACACAGAAGTGAAACATAAAATGTGCAATATGCAGTTTAACCTATAAACAAAAATTATTCAAGGAAATGAGACAAATAATTTCCTTCTCGTCTCGTATGTTCACATAGTTGTTATTTTAGGCAAAAATTAAACCTGCATATAGATGACCCCCGGAACCCAAAGGATAAAAGTCATTCTTTCCACATATGCAATTGCTGAGGTGGTACATAGACCATGTACATGTACACTCAAATCTCTACAGGAGGGCCATTGACGGGATTGAGAGAAATGATTTCTGTACAAGAGGTTGCTGAGGCAGAACTTTCATCACCATAAACCCATCAATATTCACTTGCTATCTGTTTCAATGATGTTGATCACTAGTGAACACTGTAAATATTTCATTCTTGAACACTAATACTAGACATCTTCATGACGTTTCAATTAGATATAAACCAGGGAGCCAAATCAATGAAATAAGCAATACTGATCTAGACTATGTTTTATGAGCATGTTCCAATGAAAAAAATTCTTACTTACTGTCTGTTTCATTGTTCTTGATCATTGGTGCACACTCCCTCAGTATCTCCTCCTTGAAGACCGAAACTAGACATTCTACACAGCACTCTGTTAACTGAAAGAGAACATAATTGATTGCAAATGATCTACGTTAAAGTCTCAATCATAGATTATCATTCCACATAATGCCATTAACAAGTTTAGACATTCTACACAGCATTCGGTTAGCTGAAAGAGAACAGGAAAAATCGCATATTAACTACACTAAAGTCTCAATCAAAGGTTATTATAATAATAATAATAATTTTTAAAAAAAATTAATAATAAAATAATATAGTGAGGCTACTATATGAATATACTCTACTGCGCTTATTACAAAGTATCACATTATTCCCCATAATGACATTCACAAGTTGAGGTATTTTATACAGCACAGTCTCTAAATCATGAAAGACAACCACTTGTAGTACTTCTACTTTTAATTAGACATGACTGTAGTTTCATTGTTTACATTTCATGTGATATACTCTCGAAGATACTCTCTGCGACTGTGGAGAGACTCAGACGATGGAACACATCTTGCAGTGTGGCAGAACAGGTTGCACAGATGGCAGCCATCAATGGGCGATGGAAGAACTTAATTGAATCTAATTCAATTTAGGAACTTTACATTCATCTTGATCTAGGGAGACGTGAACGAACAAACTTGATATACTTACTAAACTCATTGAGTTACTTCCTTTGCTCGTATCAAGGTATCTGCTTGCTCTCATTTCTTCCTCTTTGAGTTTGCTGTCTGCCTGTAATTGCATAGAACAAAGCAAACGATCAAATTACTAATGATTCTAGAACCTTGACATAGAGATGAAGACAAGACCAAGAAAGAGAGAAGTGAACATCACGAAACACAAACTAATGGAACTATCAAATTTGTTTTTGTTTTGTTTAATGCAAGAGCTGAGAAAGGCAGGGTATGGTCTTGTAAACAAGCACAGACCCTCTTTTAACAAGCCAGAAGAAATATTGAATATAAAATTATGTAATTAAGAATCAATTTTTCACTTCCGGGCACTATAACTATGGCATCATAGACACGCTCATAGTAGAAGGGGATCGCTATCTATTACAAACTTTCAGTTGCCATTTTAGGATTTGTATATCCTTTTTGGCATTTTTAATGATCTGTTTCTCTTCTTTCTTTCTTTTTGTTGGGGGAGGGGGGAGGGGGAGGCATTTGTAAGAAAATTTGAAGCTATATTGTCTATTGTTACCCTGTTTTCAGCTACTGCTCTAACACACCACTAACATTATTTATCTGATTCTTAAATAATATGACAACAATACTTACATATCTCATGTAGTTCTGTACGCCGTTTTCTGCTAGGTAGTTTGGAGCTTGAGCTTTGTAGAAGGCTTCTGTAGCATCCAGGTAAGCTTTCTCAAAGTTCTCCTTGTATATCTGCAGTCTGTCTTCACTGTTCAAGCATAAATTAACTGCAAGGGAGTAGGGGAAAGAAGCATGAAAGAAATAGGGTTATTAGTGTTTCATGTGAAATAATCCTAGTTGAGTGTAATAGTATGAATAAACATTTAGCATTTAGCATTTAGCAAGTCCCCAAGCAATAATGATGTTGACATGTCACTCCATAGGCTTAATTATTACTAGGCATGGAAGGGAAACGGGTGGGGGAGGGGGTGGGGGAGGGGGCGGGGTGGGGAGTGTGATCACTCAAATAACCCATAGGGTTAATGCATCTTCTCTACTAAGGACGATTGTCACTACCAAAACACAAAATTATCTCCAATAGCATCAAATTGGCAAAGCGTTGAGGGAAGGACAATGTCCTGCACATGAAAGACATTAAACCCCAAGACACATCAACAAAACAACACTAGATTGCCTTCAGACCGATCAAAAAATGACAATATATGGTTTGATTGATACTGCAATATTTATATTTGTTTCTATTGATTTTGTCTCAATTTATGTTTGTTTTGTTGTATTTATGTGATTTGATTTGCCAAATAAAATAACAATAATAATAATAATGGCAAAAATTGGTAGGTATGGAGTCGGTTTGGAATCAGTTTGATTAAAGTATAACTGCTTGTTGACTTAAAACTAGTAATCTGCCTTACCGTATGATTCTCTGACACCAATAACAAGCTGTTTCTCAAAGGCTTCTCCATTCCTCTCAGCTAGTACCAGTCCCATGGCACTCTCCTGGAGCTTCTGTTTGATCTTAGAGAATATGTAGTGACTCCAACTCTCTAGCATCAACTAAACAAGGAAGCAAGGGAAAAAAGAGAAAGAAAGAGAGAAATAGATCATTATTGGGAGGCATTGACGCAGGAAAAGATCTCTGTAACATCATTTCATACCAGAATAAACACCTTGAAGACAATAACTAGCCTTTTCCAAAAGCCCTATTCATGTGTTTTTTATGGAGCTTCACTTTGATCTTGGAGGAGATATAGTGACTCAAGCTTTCCAGCATCAACTATGAAATTAAGACAAAGAATAAATTGACATACACCAGGTATGTTGCAAATGGCAATGGATGAAGAGTAGAGCTTTAAATCTAAATTGCAAAAAAAATTATCTCAGATAGGGCTCAGGTGTCAAATGGAAATGGCAATATCTGTTAAACCCAAAACTGAAAAGTGTTTTTTTTTTCTTCATTTCTGCTTGATCAAAAAATTGCTGTAGTTACATAGAAAGTCACTGTGGAGCACTGTTTTAGGTAATGATAACCGGCAGGTACCCTTCATTATTGTGGACATCTGGATAAGCAATATGTCATGTTTGGATGAGGTGTCGTGGTCTAGTGGATACGTCACTGGAGTGTGAATCACATGGTTTACGGTTCGAGTCCCGCCGTGGCACTGAAGTCTTTTGGCAAGATATTAATCTACATTTGCCACACTCCACCCAGGTGAGGTAATGGGTACCCGGTAGAAAGAAATTCTTTCAATAATTGAGCGCTGTTTCATGGTAGCCCGGCTAAAGCTGGGGTATAAATATCATTGCAAGGCCCTCAGGGAAAATAGTATTAATACTGATGAGGCTACCCTGGGTAAACCAGACAAATTATTACAGTCAAACCCGTCTATAGCGACCACCCAAGGGAAACACAAATGAGTGGCCTCTGGTCGCGTTAGACAGGTGGTCGTTGTGTACAGGTTCTTAACTACTTGAAACCTCACAGAGGGATTTTAAGAGGTTGTTTAAGACAGGTGGTCATTAACAAAGGTTTGACTGTATTAATATTATAATTGTTATCATTTTGATTGATAAACACACCTTTCTGACTGTAGAATCCTCGTTCTGCTGATTGGCCTTCTTCTGCTGGGCACCGGACCCCTTCCCCGTGGCCGTCTCTAGCGGCTTGAATGGCTTGGGGAGATAGTCACACTGGGTGAAGTACTTGCCCCACTCTCGGATGTAGGCCTTCAGGAGTGCAGACTCATCCTGGTCATGAAGGACACGCTGTGTTGACATAACAATAGGATCAAAGGATGTATCGTGATAGTGATGTAGACTAAACAGTCATCATTGATAGATAAACAGTGATTGATCCATGAATGGTATGCTATTTAAATGCACATGATATTTCTATCCTACGGTTATGAATGTTAACCTTTTCTGGTTGTATCTGAATTTTTCCATTTGTTATTTCTTTACAGGGGCGGATCTAGCTTTTTGCTAAGGGGGGGGTTTGACCAAAATAATGACGATGCGGAGCATCGTCCACGAGCCGCGAAGCGGCGAACCGATTTTTTTTGGGGGTGTTTATTTGAACCCCGTAAGTGATGTTTTCCTGGCATCTATTAACACAATGGAGACCATAAAAAGCAGTGCATGATAACGTCTTTTTAAATCAAGTAACAGTTTAATACACAGTTATATCCAGAGTTATCATGTGTTTGGTTAAGTTACCAGATGAGTTGAATATCTTCTCACAATATTTGCACTTGAAAGGGTTTCTCTCCAGCGTGCGTTCTTTTTTCTTTTTTTTTTCTTTCTTTTTTTCCTTTTTTTTCCTTTTTTTTCCTTTTTTTTTTTTTTTTTTGGGGGGGGGCCGCTCAAGGGGGGGGGGTTTAAACCCCCTAAACCCCCCCCCCCCGTAGATCCGCGCCTGCTTTATATGTGATCTTTTTTCATTAAAAAAAAAAAAAAAGAGTTCACCATTCTTTTTTTAGCAAGGGGAACACATTGCAGATACAGTGCATACCAAATTTTGCTAATCAATGAGAACATGGATGAAAACTTAAATGCATGGAATTAACACTACATGAATATGAAAATAACATACATATTCAAACAATTCCATAATTATTTAAAAGTACTGGTATCCCTACATGTAGTTCAACAACAACTTCAAGCTATATATTTCCCTGAAAATGCAAGATAATGTTGACTATTTCCCCAATACATTGAATTCTTTCCACATTATTATGAGAGATTATCTGAACTTCATACAAAGAGAGGACAATAAACTTGTAAAATGCAGATCTGTAAGTAAATTGGCAAGTGGCAACAAGGGTTTCCTTCATCTCCCAATACAATCACATACCTGCCAACCTTTCACAGCAGAAACTAGGAATCTCTCAAGGCAAAATTAGGAATACAGTCTATGTGTATTAATTACGATTATTCTCTTAATGCCTTATTGGATCAACTAGCTCCCAGAAAAACAAGAACTATAGTTGTCAAACCCAAGTGTCCTTGGATGAATGATGATATCCGAGAGGCAAAATGCCTCAGACGGAGACTGGAGCGTCGTTGGAGAACCACTAAAACTGAATCCGATCGGTCTCTATTTATTAAGCAGAGACAAATAGTATCTCATCTCGCTAACCAAGCGCAAAAACATCACTACACATCTGCTGTAGCAGACTGCAGTGGCGATCAGAAGCGGTTGTTTCAAATTATAAATAAACTCTTGAATAGAAAGAAAGATCAAATTCTTCCTAGTAATGTGTCTGATCAAGACTTAGCAAATCGTTTTTCTGATTTCTTTATGAATAAAGTTAGCAATATTCGTCGAATTCTTGACGCTCGTGACAGTACAGGTTATCAGTCAGTGTCAGAAAATGCCACTCCCTATTTGTCTGAATTTTTACCAGCCACAACAAGTGAGGTTCGGAAAGTCATTATGAATTCCCCACCATCTACATGTGAACTAGATCCTATTCCAACCTGTTTGATCAAAGATTTTTCTAATGAATTCACCCCATACATCACAGAGATTGTAAATTCATCTCTACGTTCTGGCATCTTTCCTGATTGTCTGCAACATGCACTCATTAAACCTCACCTAAAGAAACCAAGCCTTGATAAACAAGAGCTTAAAAATTATCGTCCCGTTGCAAATTTAAAGTATCTTGGTAAGGTAATTGAACGTATAGTATCTACGCATCTTCAGTCCAGCATAAATGACCAAAACCTACAAAACCCCTTTCAATCGGCCTACAAGGAAAACCACAGTGTGGAGACTGCACTATTGAAAGTACAAAATGACATTTTAATAAACATGGATAAGGGGAAAGTTACTGCATTAGTTCTGTTAGATCTCAGCTGCGCCTTCGATACTGTTGACCACAATATCTTAATCGACAGACTAAAAAAGATTGGCATTGGTGGAACATGTCTTCATTGGTTTCGTTCTTACCTTTCAAATCGATCTCAAGCGGTTAACCTACATGATACAACTTCATCGGTTGTTAATCTTCTGTTTTCTGTGCCCCAAGGATCTGTTTTAGGTCCCCATCTGTTTAATGTATATACCTTACCACTTCATGAGATTATCAGTAAACACAATATAAGCTATCATATGTATGCAGACGATCTACAATTACATTTTTCGTGTCTTCCTATTCAGGAACAGGTAGAAAAACGTGTCAAAGATCTTGAAAGTTGTATTCATGATGTACGAAAATGGATGAATGATTGCTATCTCAAACTAAATGACGATAAAACAGAATTTCTCTTGTTAGGCTCCAGACAACAACTTTCCAAGATTGCTATAACTCATATACGTGTTGGTTCTGTGCACATTGCTCCTTCAGATAAGGCAAGAAATCTTGGTGTCATTTTCGATACAAGCATGTCTCTTGATGCACATATTTCAAAATGTGTGAAAGCTGCCAATTATCATCTTCGTAATCTTCGCGCTATAAGGAAATTTTTAACCCCCCAAACCACTCAACAATTGATTCATGCTTTTGTAACATCTCATCTCGATAACTGTAACTCTCTCCTTTATGGACTTCCTAAATACCAAATTCACAGACTACAAAAGGTTCAAAACGCAGCTGCCCGCCTTGTCACTAAATCCAAACGTTCGACCCATACTACTCAAATACTCAAGAAACTTCACTGGCTTCCAATAGAACAGCGTATCAAATATAAAATTCTACTACTCACCTACCGTTCACTAAATGGATCAGTCCCTGAATATATTTCCTCTCTTCTTAATATCTCTTTAAGTTCTCGTGCAGGTCTTCGTTCCTCTAATTCAACAAATTTAACACAATTAAGAACAAAGAGGAGTTGGGGAGACAGAGCCTTTACAGCTGCTGCACCCCGGTTATGGAACTCCCTACCCCAGTCAATCAAAATGTCAGCCAATCAAAATGTGTTAAAAAAACAATTGAAAACCTATCTAATGTCTGAATTCCTTAGTTAAGACGTAGTGTATTTCAAATATGATGTAATTAACATTGTTGAATTATATTGAATTATGTTAAATTATTTTCGTTCAATGTACTTACCTTGTTAGGCGCCTTGAGCATCTCTTGGGGTGGATATGTGCGCATTATAAATGTTGTTATTATTATTATTATTATTAATCTATTTTTTTAATATACTTTTCACACAGAATATTTCAGAAAAAAGAGAGGAACCTAGGGTTCAAAACAATAGCTTAAAGGCCAAAAGATATGAATCATTCCTTCAAAATAGGAATGGCTGGCAGGTACGCAATTGCTAAATGATAAACTACACAATTTTCTTGTAAATTCAACATCATCCTGCTAACTAATGATAATAATAATAATATGTCTTGTTTACCCAGGGTAGCCTCATCAGTATTCATACTGTTCTCCCTGAGGGCCCTGCAATCATATTATTAATGAATCCATAGATTACCTGTTTGGCTTGCTGGACGAACTCGACGATGTCATGTTTGAGTGCTTCATTGACCTTGTCCACTCCCTTATCATCCCATACACACACAGAGTACACCTCCCTACACAGCAAAGGAAAGAGAAGAGTACACAATAATGTCCTACTACATTAGTAACATACCAGTAACTATTACACAAAGAATCTCCCTCAGGTGTGGATGGCAATTTGAGGACTGAACCTCAAATAAAATGTTGGGTTAAAAGAATTACTGTGATCATTAGTGTACCTCTTTTGCTGAGTAAGGCATCTATCTCTTTCACTTTGAAGAGCTGTAGATGATTGCATTCTGATTGCATTTATAAGTTAGCATATTACTTGCAATTTCATACTGTATGTACATTTGTATACATGTACATGTACAGTGTATCAAGACATAAAAGACTGAAGAGCTACATGTATACTGTAGCAAAAGATAATTTTGCTCGCCTAATTAGACAAACAAATAATTCCACTCTTGTTCTCTTTTAGAACTTGGGCAGATCAAGAAATGGACAAGTATATACACTGTACATGTATATATCTCTTTGTTCTTTCATCACGAGTGTACAAAAACATGTTCATGTACAGTATTTCAAACTCTCCCATCCTCTGTATTGTCTGAAGTTATTGGTTTGTATGATCACCTCTGTACACACTACCTGCACTTGTCTTTCATATCGAAGTGATTAATTATTCCATCCCAAATCATATTGACATGGTTGTTTCACTTTCAATTCGGAAAGATAGCATACATGAACATGTATACAAAAGTAGCCGTACAATATCTACATGTAGGACTGTGGTACAAACGCATTATAAAATGCAAGTTTGAACTGGGGAAGTACTGTACGTGTACAATAGTACATTGTACAGATAAACAACTATCATGTGTCAAATGAAGGTAGTTGTATTTTCATTGTACCATAAAGCAATTTAAAGTTGGAGGGAACAGATCTACAAGTTAAAAAGAAAACAAAAATTCAAAATTAGGTGACAAGAAAAACATGTTTATTTCTCTAAAAACCCTTTTCTTCTAGCTGCATTGTATTCCTCCTTTATTGAATGATTTACTACTGCATATCTTCTTCTTCTTCTTTTTTCCATTTCAAAGTTACCGGTATAAAAACAATATTTTTTTTTCTACTTCTATCTATTTTGGAGGTGTTAACAGGTATACATACCCTAGGTCATCTTTTGAAACACTGTGCATGAATCCTGGATAAACACCTTTATCAACAGTTCAAAAAACAGTTGAACATACCAAACAATTTTAAGCACCCAATACACTATTTGATAGGTAAACAATAATCAAAATAAAGCAAATAAAATGTTTATCATTGGAGAAATAATCCTATGACAAGTCCCTTGCATGTATATGTACATGTACAAGGTCAGTATTAAATACTTGTAGATGAAGTAACAACTCACCAGAAAAGGTCATGCCATTCATTTCTGCTCACGTTCTCCTGTCTCAAGAGTTTGAGTACCGTGGGCCTCATGCCCTCCCAGCGATCCTCAAACTGAGGTTGGGTTTTATCCTGCTGTAGATAGTGAAAGAGATGGAAAGAGATGGAAAGAGAGGGAGAGAGAGGGAAAGAGAGGGAAAGAGAGGGAGAGAGAGGGAGAGAGATGAGAGAGAGGGAGAGAGATAATGAGAAAGAGCAAGAGAAAGAGAGAGAGAAAGATATTAGCAAGAGAGAGATAGATGGAGAGAGAGAGAAATGGAGAGAGAAAGAAAAAAAGAGAAAGAAAAAAAGAGAAAGAGAGAGATAGAGAAAGATTGAGCAAGAGAGAGATGGAGATAGAAAGAGATGGAGAACGAGAGAGACAGAAACAGAGATGGAGAACGAGAGAGACAGAAATAGAGAGAGAGTTGGAGAGAGAGGTAGAGAGATCCATGTAGATAGATAGAAAGAGAAAGAAGGTTTAGGGAAGAATAAATCATATTTTTATAATTTTCAATCTCAAGGAATTTATACATACAGTAACAATATTGAAAATAGACCCTTAAAGATTTACAAGTTCTAGAGGGATATTGCTTTTAAAAAATTATTGAATGAGATTGACCCGATGCAAAGAGGGTCCAAAAAGCATGGGAAAATTTAGCAGAGACCACAGAAAGACATCCAGGAAGTCTAGATAAAAAACAAATTGGAAAAAGGACTGTAGCCCATCGGAGAAACCAAGGTATGTGATTTTTTTCATCTGATTTGATTTCCACTACAATTTATGTCTAAGATAAGAAGCGAATTATCTTTCTTTTTTCTTGGGGGGGGGGGGGGGTGGGCGAAGCTGCAAGATGCAATGTATTTCTTGTTGTGCAGTCACATGTACAGGTGTAATTGCCTGGCCTGACCATTGTCATAGATGTACTGTATCACATCTCATGTATTAGTGACTCATTACGGTACCAAAAATAAAAAATCTTTTAAAGGCCCACTGCACTACTTGTAGCTACATGTACTTGCGCCCTCTATATAACAAACAATGCCTAATCGGTGACCATTGGTCCCCCATGATCCTCTTTTTCTTATGTTAAGTGAGAGCTGAGTTGATGAGATAACCACCTGTCCAGTGACCTTGTAGGCCGGTCTAATCCCTCATGTAAACTATGGCAGATAAGCTTTAATGGCTCTGAGGTAAAAGCAAGGCAAGAACTTGAAGTTTGAACAAGACATAATGCAGGACAGTTTTGTTTTAGAAATTGCTATGAACAAATGAGATGTTTGAAACTTTGAATGCAAATTCTTAAAGGAGCTACACAAAGAAAATTCACTAACAACTGATAATTAGAACAAATTACATATGGATGGAAAGATTTTCTCTTGAAAAACACAAATAATTTGCTGAGAAATCATATAGATATCATGGAAAGGCTTAAAATGCAATTTTTCAAGACCCTTCTAACCTTCTTAGATCCCCAAGCGCCCCCGAACGTAAGCCAAACACACAAGCGTAGCGAGCTCTGAATAGCGACGTCACACACTGGACAAACAGCTCAGTGCCGTGTAGCAGTCTGCAGCTAGCCAGCCGTGTCCCGTACATGTATGTGACGTCACAAATATTGACGCTCTATATAAAAGGACCGCTGATTAAGGCAGAAATCTGGATCTCAAAACTAACATTTTTGAGAGTTGATTACTGCGGGCCCCAAACATATTTTGAAGAAAAGAGTTGTTGTATTTGATCAGCAAGACTTCCCCTTTGCAATAATATGAGTTTTGCATCAATTCAAAACACTTTTGATTCTTTGTGTGTCTACTTCAACATTAGATTTTGTAGCATTACATTCTTCTTCTTTGACTGTCAAGTCAGCATCCTTCAACCTTGAAAATTCTTGCATTACTGTGTGACATAGTGTGTGTTTTAAGAGTACATGTGCCAATAATTTACAAGTTGCAATTAAAAACAGAATAGCCTGCAGCCTATCATCAATTGGAGATGATTGAAAGGATTCGACAGAGGGGCTGTCATGTCACAAACTTGCTAAGTCATTGATTTAATCATTCATAAACTATTTCCCCGATAAAGTGGAAAAAACATAGATCTAGATCACATTCTCATAAAACAATCTGTGGATTCATGTTCAGGTTCATTATTTGAACTGGACATTGAACTTATTTCATACAGCACAAAGAGTCCCAATATCACTCGCTCAGCCATTTTCAGCTTCACTCAGCTCTCAGTCAGCCGGAGGCCGGGCGAGCTACACAGCCAGAGAGCACTATGCACGCAGTGCATTGCCAACGCACAGAGTAGACACAACGACAACAAACCACATCAACATCGCATAAACATGGTTAAATTTTGACAATTTCTCAATTCACATTGATTATTATCGCACAGTAATAATACACTGCATAATCACACATAATACCGAATTATTCATAAACGCAACAACTTACTTTGAGCATTGAACTTCCACCTCCAACGCCGCTCGGTTTACTTCCGACAGTCGCCATTTTGATGCAGGCTAATGTTACATGTTGACCTTAAATATTGTGGATGACCTTTCCCTCACGTTTACTTTTGGATCTGTTTTTATTGCTTCGTGTTATCTTCTTCCGTTTTTTCCAAGGATGGATAATTATGTAACACAAAATCCGTGGTACATTCCATCATTTCAGTGAAGAGAACAATTTAAAGGGAAAATATTACAATCCACCATATAGATCTGGACAAGTCGCATTCATAAGTTGGGGGTCGAAGGATGGGGAGCTACAGGGATGTGGGGGTGCTCCCCCTAGCTCCAATTCCCGATAGCGTATCCATGCACGGCTTTGCGGTTACGAGACTGATGTGGCATACAGGCAGGACATGCTCCCCTCTCCTATTCAAAATGTTTCATAGACACCCCTGATTATTCATTATTTCGCTGCAATATGATTTTATTTTCAGTATTTTTAATCATTGTTGGCCTTATGATTTTGTTCCAGGATCAGACGTATCCTTAATACATAGTATAGTATTTATTTTCCGTTTTAAAAACAAACATATAATACAAGTATATACATAGTGTAAATAAAACGGCTGGATAGCCCATATTCAGCTGTGCCAGGCACGACACTGCTGGTCTTCCATGGGTCCAGGAATCATATACATAAATATAAAATATGATGTACAATTATTTACTAAATTAAAGGGTATATAAGAAAAGGTACAATACACAGTTATAAATGCTTAAACTCTACAAAATGGTAGTTGTGTGAAAGGACTACGAAAGTCCACCCCCCCCCCTCCCGAGTCTGGAATAGGTCAATTTATTATCAAGGTCTGGGTGACTGGGCATGTGAGTAGAACAACGTTAATTCGCGCTTAAAACTATTCAGAGTTGAGGCATTTCTTACAATTACAGGGAGATTATCATAAGCAATAGCTCCTCTATACTTAAAAGTTCTTTTCAAAAATCCAGTATTAGGCTTAGGCGTATATAGTCTTCCACCAAAGCGTAAGTGGTATTCGTGCACAGAGATACTAAAAAGGTCTGAAATGTAAACAGGGGTCATCTCATTAAGTGATTTAAACATATAAGTTAGCAAATGCTGATTTCTCCTGTCGTGTAACGATTCCCAGTTAAGGGCATTGTGAATTTAGTCATATAGTCATATAGTCCTCGCAGTCGTGGAGTTACTGGGCCGTACTTGATACGAATTAGGAGTGATCAAAAACATAATCACCGACATTTCGGTAATAATTAACCCCCCCCCCCAAAAAAAAAAAGTCATTGGTTCTTTTCTTCTTCATTTTCGACACTATAACGGGCACGAGAGGGGGCATGTGCCAGCGGTACCCCCTGGATCCACAAGTGAGCTCATTACCATGAAAGCATTATCACGAAGATGCCGAGAGAGTCGCCATTTGGCAGATCATAATTGTCTCTTTTTGTTCTCTTTTTTTTTTGCCTTCGTTCCGTCTTGTTTTTTCCCTATCTAGGCCTATCTTTTCTCATAAATGTCCTTGCTTCTACATTTCTTTTTCATTTCTTTTTATTTCCCCATTCTTTCAACCTCATTTTCTATTAACACAAAAGGCTCTAGCCCTACATTAAAAATGGAAACTGAAAAATAGGCAATGCTATGGAATCACACAGTATGATGATTGCTCGATAGCTTGTCACGATGTTTCTCCGTCATTATAATTGTGTATTATTTATCATGTTTGATAATATATCATTTTTTCATACTTTTTCTCTCCACAGGGATTTTATTGATTTTCATTTGCAACAAATTAACAATCAAGGTAATTCATATTTAAAACATGAATATTGAAAATTGACGACTCAAGATACAAATATTTGTTGAACTGTCGAGTTAAGGAAGACATACATATTTGCAATAATGGATTTCTGATATTCATGAACAACAAAAATGGAAGAAACAATATAAAAGAGACATATTATCCTTTGATTATTGGGGTATATACATTAACTACTTTGTTGTGACCACTGCTAATGATTTGTTTTAATAAAAAATAAAATAAAATAAAAAAATAAAAAAATTCAGATTTTTAAAATATTTTTTATAAAGAAGTTCTTGCATTGAAACCATTTTCTTGTGAACTTATTATTTCTACAATTCGAATCTGCAATATACTTTTCATTTTTAAAATAATTTATAATCGGAACTCTAATATTAACAAAGTCGGGCAATGTTGTTTTTTGTGCACGTATGCACCATCTGTCGCAATTCAATGCATAATAATATTTGAACTTCTTAAACCAAATAATTTATCGTGTGATGAAAATATTATTCTATTTCCGGTTCCTGTATAATATTCCGGGATAATATTATATCCAGTGTTCCAACATATCCCAAATATGTTTAACATGCGTACAATCACATACCAGATGTATAACTGTATAGATTATGTGAACATCCTTTCATACGTTTCATAACCAATGCATCTGGTAAAAGAGGCTGTGGCAACCTATCAAAAAAGTACAGTTGCTAAAACCCTTCTCTAATTGCATCGCATAATCCACGATAAAAAAGAACATTTATTTTATTATATTATACGTATCTTGGAAATCTTCCAGAGAGAGCAACAAAAAAAATCACAATAATTGTCTCTAAAATATCATTGACAAAACAAACTCCCCTCTTACACATTTTTTAAAAACTATATATATTGGGCTATTGCCTATTTTAATGTAATCATTATCCCATAAGAGTTGGCAGGAAATGTTATCACAATGTGTGGACAAGAGTGTACTATAAGCCATGAACATTTCTTTCCAAAAAGGGTTCTTTGTTTTACCTGCCATTTCCCGAAAATTTGACAATATTGTCGTCACTAATTAGACCAAGTGTGTACTCTATACCTTCATATTTTGTTTCTCCCCATTTTCAATGACTTTAAAATTGTCATTATTTTGATAGAAGGAGAAGGAAAAAAAAGAATTTAAAACAAACAAACAAATACAACTTTTAAAAAACGGAACAAAAATGTAATGTCAAGATCATAACTGCATTTCATCATCACCGCCATCATCATCATCATACTATTATCATCACCATTATCACCATCACCATCATCCTTACCACCATCATCATCATCATCATTATCATCATCATCATCATCATCACCATCATCATCATGACATCATCATCATCAACCCGTTACTATCCATTTCAATTATGATTACCATCATCATCAACATCATCATCATCATCATCATCATCATCATCATCATCAGTTTCACCACCATCATCATAATAATCGCCATCCCCGTCACCTATAATCAATCAGCCACCACACATTATGAAGGAGAGAAGAAGAAAAAAACATACCAAGAACAGAAAACGAACACAATAAAGCCGGCTTTAAATAAAGAAATTTAGCTTTGGTCGGGAAAAAAAAATACCAAATTTCATTCGGCAAAAAACAAACACCAACAAAAACACACAACCTTTGAATGAAAGGTGATTCGAGTAAAGAAAAAAAAATGCCTAGTCGCGAGATGGCGCTAAATCGAAATCGTGAATGAGATGACTTCTCCGCTGCATAAATCAAGCAAATGCCTTCGCTCTATTCGATTCCGAATTTGCAGGTGTCTACCGCTATGCATGGCGTTGCTCCTCGGGTCCGGCGAAAGTCCGTCCGTCGAATCGAATGCATCCCTCCCCCTCTCTTTCTTTCTTTCTCTCCCCTCTTCGTCTCTCTCTCTCTCTCTCTCTCTCTCTCTCTCTCTCTCTCTCTCTCTCTCTCTTCATCTGATGTTAATGCACTGAGCCACACCTTACGACTACTGCTTCGCAAATGCTATCGAGACTGCAGTTGACATCGACCATCCTTCAGTCGTCAGAAGCATATCCAAGCAATCAACCATGGTAAGAAATCTAATAAAATGTGATTTAAGATTTAAGATACTCGTCCTGGATGTTGATCAAGTCATTTTGGTCGTGATTGCATCTTGCGAGAAGAGCGCCCTAATTATTATGAGCGCGACCTCGATCGGCGGCTCGCAATAAAATGACCTTCGCCGTATACTTTCTAAGAATAACTATAAGTGTGCGCTTGCAGAATCTTGCTCCTTTAAGTATGGTTCTCTCGATCATTTCGATATTTTACTCGTACATACATCATCATAGCTCGGTATAGTGTTGCATATAATTCCGACGGTCTGCTTTTGTTAACCCGTTGTAACATCTTGACCTGCTTGGCATTTCAAGCATTATCCTACAATTTGCACTTCATGCATGTATATTCAATGGAGATGTAAAGGATATTCGACATAGTTTTGACAAAATGTAGGAAATACTGAGGTGATGAAAAAAAATTATTTCTGTTGCACACACAATGACAGTCATCATAATCATCAATGTACGTGTGCATCTAGCTCTGAATACATTTTGTAGATTATTCTTATTTGGAATCAAATTACCGTTTGTATATTACAATGGTAATTTCAACCTGCTAATTTATTATTCGTCAAAAACAATGATTAGCAGGGTGAAATTGTATTATGGTCCATGGCAAATATAGCCTAGCTTTGCTTTAGACTACATAAGAATGTTGTTTGAATTCATAAAGACTGATGGCCATGATGATTTGGACACTTTTGTTTGTAATCATGTTTAATTGTTGAGAATTAGGGAAAAGGGATTTGGTCAAATTATGCTATACTATTGTGCACTATAATATCCGCAAGTCTAAAAAAAAGTATTATGAATTTTTAATAATAATATCGATAAATAACATTAATTTTGTGCGAATTCCGCCTTCATGTTTTGGAAGTTAATTCTAGTCATCATGATAAGCCTATTGGGACTCGTCTTAATTACATTATTTTTGTCTTGTCTTTATAACAACCCTTCTTAGCTTTCTAATGATATTCATGTTTAACTTGATTCTTATCAATTTCTATCAATTTCTATATAGATTATGGATATACGTAGTTTTTGTGTTGCTGTATTTGGGTTTATATCTTATGAAAATTAGTAAAAGGGTTGAGGTATACAGAGGCATGGAGATGTGCCCCCCCCCCCCCCCAACAAAACAAAAAAAAATGGCAGAGAGAGAGGGGATGTAAAGAAAGTGACACGGCCACCAAACTCATTACTAATTTATCATTTAGCAGTGCATCCCGCTCGGTCAAAGGGAAATTCAAAATACCGTACATTTATCTTGGAATCATGCCTTGAGTACCCCCCCCCCCCCCCACGAACGGAGTCAACAGCACCATTGTATATTGACTTGTTTTAGTTTCTTATTGAGAAAGAAAAATTGAAAGGGAAAATATTAATTTATCAAATAAAATATATTATGTATAATTATGTAGCATAATATGGTCTAAAACATTCGCATTGATGCAGATAAGATCATGAAAATTGACTAGTGAGGGAAAGTTGATTATTAATGATAAATTATAAACATGATAGGTCAACATTGCATCCTTCCTAAATCTGATTCACATCAAGTGTGTATACTCAGTGCATGCTTAACTGAATTTCTTACATTTTCTGTGCATGTAGGCCTACTACCGTTAGAAAATTGTATCAATGTTTTATATTAACGCGCGTGGATATTATTATGCAGGACTATAGGTTTGAAAATAATGATCATAATCAATAAACTAAATCAAATTTTGAAAAGTGGACTCAAAGAATTATTATAATTAACAAAAAGTGTATGGAGCACAGGTTCTAAAACGTTCACATTGATAATGATATGCCTCAATAGTGGCCATGGTAGAGTCTAGACATGTTAGGCAAACATTATAGCCAACTGCTGGGACAATGTACTAATGCTTGCACTTCAAACCGTAACCGTTCAGCTCGGTTGAGATTGGTGGCGACACCATTATGAGCCCGACCCCCCCCCCCTCCAGTGTCATCATCAAAGTCTTTGTTTGCATGATTGTGGTCATATCCAATCGTTCATGCATAATGTGGCCGCATTCGGCTTTTTTAGGTGCTATCCATGCAAAATGTAGTGTCCCAACCAACCGCCCCATACCCCCTAAAAAAAACAAGAAAAGAAAAAAGGGGTCAAGTTGGTTATTGCATGTTCCAACACAATTTTATAAGTTTTTCGACGGTATGAAAATCTGTCAAATTGTATCCCGAAAGTATGCAATGTTCTCCTAGTAATCATTATGATAAAGATATGAATAGTAATAAATATAATGACAATAATAATAATGATAATGGTAATGATGATGATGATGATGATTATAATAGAAAATTAAAAATATAGTAATAATAGTGATAGATATTTATGATGTAAAAAAAAAGTGCTGAAGCACATACAAACAAGATAGAAACAACAACGACAACAACGGGAATGATTTTTTTTTTTTTAATGCTGTATTTATAAATTGAAAATAAAACACAACGAATAACATATTTACAATAATATCATATCATTAAAGTAAATGGATGTAGGCCTATACAGAACACGGTACAACACCTGACAACACAACACAAAACAGCACAACACAAAGATATCGCCTCACTCCACATGCTCTATCAGTAAGGCTCACGCTGAAATGCAACAAGGTATCATGTAAGAAAACTGAGACTTGACTCGTCAAGGAGAGGCTCCCCTGAAATGCAGTAATATTATCAATAGAATAACATAATTGACAATATGAAGTATACAATTTGTTAAATGCCAGGTGACCAAAATTCTACATGAAAGAAAGTGACCATTTCCTATATAGTATGGGAGCCCAATTTACCATTCTTCTGCTATTTTATGTTCAATTTTCTGTTTTATTTTTACAAAAGAAAGGAAATCCTGGAAATGTAAATTCTACCTCTAAAGATTTACAGCGAATAATGTAAAGTTTGAAGCACAGGAATAAAAAACAAAACAATAAATACACCATGCCTGCCACCGATATCAATACCAAATGTATGAGCGAACTCAAAGTACAATGTTGTCTCCTTCGTCATATTATCAATATAATCTGCAAGCTTTTTCCATATTGAAGTAACCACTGTGTATTTACAACATATATGAATCAAGGCTTCAGGAAGCCCCTGACAGAAATAACACAAAAAACTATCCCTTCTTCCAATTTTCAACAACGGGAATGAGTTGTATTAAAAGGCACAAAGTCATTGACACTTCGAAGGCAAATGTCATTCGCGCCAATATAGCTGCAGTCCCACGATTTTAGAACATTACACTGCATCTCATAACATAATGATGTCTCATTCAAGAGATCAAATCCCGTGGACGTATGAATTTTCTCGGCATCTGGTGGAAAATCAACATTTTTAAACGCATCAGCCATCAGCAGGCTGGGTTCAGCAAAAATTATGTAAAAGGATGAGGTAGTGGGAGAGAGAGAGAGAGAGAGAGAGGGAGAGAAAGACAGATATAAAGAGAAAGAGAGAGAGAGAGAGAGAGAGAGAGGGGGAGAGAGAGAGAGGGGGGGGGGGCACACTAACTTTAAGGAGGGAGTTTCACATAATTATAAAACAAATAAAATTAAGATAAAATGCACGCTTTGATGTACGTAGGCACGATTTTAGGATTGTAGGCAAAACATAGATATATTTATTTATTTTCAAGAAGACTAATGCAAGGAATACATGGTATGGAAATATAATGATAATGCTGGCACGAAACAGAATTACTATGTATTACACCTTTAGCTTCATAATCAAACAGGTCGCTATGACAAACGAAATTCAATGAATATTGTAAGATGCATGTATATGTGTAATTGCAACATAAACATGAATGTATATAATTTCAGCAATTCGTCGATGTCGGGGTATCCGTTCTTTTAGCTAGTATAGACTTTTACTAGTATTTGGAATCCACTGTGAGTAGGAAGTCATATGCTGTTAGTAGTGTATGCTAAATATGGATGGAGTGAGATAGAGAGGGGAGAGGGGGAAGAGGAAGTGTGAACGATAGAAGGGGATAACGAGAGAGAGAGAGAGAGAGAGAGAGAGAGAGAGAGAGAGAGGGGGAGGGGGTAAAGATTGAAAGAGAAAGGGAACATAAATGGAGAAAGAGAGTGATAGAAAGAGACATAGAGAAAAGTGGGGAGAAAGCAAAAAGAGAGAAATGTCAGTGCTATACACCAAATCCTCTCCTCCGATCCGCATCTTCTGGATGTTGCGGCATCTCATTATGAATAGCAGGTGACTCATCTGCCGGATCGCATCCCGTGATGAAATACGACCGAGATTGAGATGGAGAAGGCATGGGTTAACAGTGCGCTTCGTCATCATCCCTCTCTATACAAGTCATGTAGTCTGTGCTCCGTCCAGACGTTACTGTAACGTAATTCAGCTATAGACATTACTGCATTTCTATTATTTCAATCTCCTGACCTTTCCGAACCCTATAGAGTACCGAAGCTGTGACGTCATAAAAATCTATTTTTAGAATTTCTCAATTTTTTCTTCATTTTCCGAAAGAGCATCAAAAATAATGTCCAAATGTCGAAAACCAATTGAATATGTTAAGTATTGGCTGAGATTTTGACCATCTGAATATATGTCCTATGGGAACTCAGTGTTATATGCTCTGGCTCCTAGTGGTTAGGAGCCAGAGCATATAACACTGAGCTCCTATGGGGAGTATATTTATTCAGATGGTCATATCTCAGACAATACTTAACATATTCAATTGGCTTTCATCATTTGGACATTATTTTTTATGCTCTTTCGAAAAATGAAGAAAAATTGAGAAATTCTAAAATTAGATTTTTGATGACGTCACACTTCACCACTCTATATCCATTTTGGAAAGCCACCCAAAGTGCTTCTATTTATATTGGTTAATAGCAAGATATACTCACAATTCTAAGTTGCCCACGATGCTAAAGATGCCCACTAGAAAATGTTCAATCTTTAAGCAACAA